AGGCCCAGCGCGGATCCAACAAACCCATGCGGAGCGCCAAACATTTATGTATATGCCGTTTTTTCTTCGTCGAGCTAAGGACACCACAGACGTGCGTCTCCAGGAGGAAGAGGAGGAGGTCATCCTCTCGAGGAAGCGGAGGCCTTCCTCCCGAGGAGGAGGAGGAGGAGGAGGAGGAGGAGGAGGAGGAGAGGAGGAGGAGGAGGAGGAGGAGGAGGAGGAAGAGGAGGAGGAGGAGGAGGAGGAGGAGGAGGAGGAGGAGGAGGAGGATGCCTTCCTCCCCAAGAGACGAGGAGGAGGAGCAGGAGGAGGAGGAGGAGGAGGAGGAGGACGAGGAGGAGGAGGAGGAGGAGGCCTTCCTCCCGAGGAGGAGGAGGAGGCCTTCCTGCCTCCCCTCGTCGTGGTCTCCGCCGTCGCCAGGAGGGCCTCCCCCGCCCACCGCTCGACCCTGCCAGTGGGCCACGAGGCGTGGGCGGCCGCCGCCCTCGGCGAGGGGCCGAGGGAGGAGATGCGGCCGAGGCCCAAATCACGACCATGGCTAGAGGCCTCCTAGATGGGGTCGGAGTACATGGGATCGGGGGATCGCGCCGCATCGCCGATACATCGGCGATGCATCGGCGACGCACCGGGGAGGCATCGTCGACGTGGGCGGTGCATCGGCGGCATCGACGTGAAGGAAATCGGACTCCACATCGAGTCGCAAGGGCGATGCACGCCGATGCGGCAGCGCCGAGCAGCCAGGATGGTCGTCACGCCTTGCTTTCTGCGCTGGGCCCCCCTCCCTGGCGCGCGGAGCGCGCCAGGGGCGGCGCCGGAGGCGCCGCCGGGGGACCCCAGCGCGGATCCAAGAAATCCGCGCGGAGCGCCAAAAGATTATGTTGATGCGTTTTTCTTCGAAATCAGGAAGGTCGTCACGCCTTTCTTCCACTCAGCTGCGCGCATGCGTCCAGGCAGGCTCGAAGCGAGCTCCACCCTCGAGGCGCGACGGATCCTAACCATGATCAGATACAGGACTTTCACGCCTGTTCGAATTGGCGGACCTCGCTGCCTTCAAAACCCGCGTACGCGCCAGTCAGAGTGGGCGCGTCTCACTCCGACCGAGCCCAGGATACAACCTAGGCGTGCAACTCTAGACGGCTATTCCAGCCGTACAGCTTGCAAGCCAAGATCTGCTACTGGGTTCTGCCCTTCCCCAGTCGCTCGCTAAGGAGCGGCTGTCCAGGCGTGCAGCTTGCAAGCCTAGATCCGCCACCGCGCTTCGCAGCGGCATTTCTCTGCGAAACCCTCCGACTCTACTTCCTGGTTCGTCGCGGCCTCTCCTTATCTTCCTCTCTCATCTTCTCGAAGTTCCCTGCGCTCCTTACAATGTGAGACGCATCGCTGACATACCAACATATATCAACTGGGGCCTCCGCCAAACAGCCGCTACGAGGCAGTCGTGTGGAACAGCGGGTATTCACCCTTTGGAGGAAACGCGTTTCGTGGATTCTTGCTTGGAAGAAACCCCTGGACACGTCGGACTCCCCCTCTCAACATTTGAAACGCCCCGACCACCGCGCCCCCCCTCTCCCCCCCCCCTGGACACCGGCCTGTCGGCTACACGCACGGAGTGACCCTGGGTAAGAGTGACCTCTGGTGCGCGGCTTCCTGGGGGCCGCGCGGGGGCCAAACACGAGCGCGCAGACGCTACTACCGCAATCGCAGTCGGCGATCGGGGGACCCCAGTGGGCTCGCACCAAGGGTTACTCCGGCGAAGGGTCACTCCTACGTGTGGCCGACTCTCTAACCGGGCCCACTCCCCTCTCCCGACTGCTACAATGGGGGGGAGGTTCGAACCGGCCCCCCCTAGTCCCCCTTAATAGAACCCTATTGGTGCTCGATCAAGCTCTACTAGAACCGTACTGTAGCTAGACCCGACTTTGGTGGCAGCCTGGTCGGGCTCGGTCCAACTCGAACAGAGTCCTATTACGACTGGGTCCAGCTCTACTTGAATCCTGCTCAGGCTGGATCCATCTCTAGTCGGATCTTGCTTTAGCTGGATTCATCTTTTATCACATCCTAGCCGGGATCGGTCCAACTCTAATGGAATTGTGCTGTAGCTGGATCCAATTCTACCTGGATCCTGCGGCTCGATCCAGCCTCAGTCCGCCGACCCCCGCTTGTCGGGGGTGCAAAGGCGTTTGAGATGCCTGGCTGCCCCCGTCCCCTTTTCCCCCTCCGCGGGGGTCTGAAGTCCGATTAGACTGGGGGGAGGGGTCCTGGGGGGTGTTGATTCGAGCTCCCGATCGCATCCCCGGCGCTTCCAGAACGTCTCCAGAGCGCCCAGACGGCCCAAGAGGGCCCAAGCAAAGCGCCAAGACAATCCACATAAGCGCCGAGATGGCCCAAGGTAGCCCCACGACGGTCCAAGATGGCTTCGAGACGGCCAACGTGGCTCACACGACAGCCCACAGGTGCTCCCAGAGGACCGCCGAGAGAGCCCCAAGAGACCAAAGTCGTAAGCCTCTTGAGTAGTATCCTACTGACGCTCAATCGATCTTCGTCTTCGTCGCTGCCCGACGGCGCTGGCGCAAGCGCCTGCGCTCGCCGTCGTCGGTTGCCACTGGGGAGGGAGGGCCCTCCTCCCTCCACCCCGGTTCCAACCCCTCCGACTTGCAATAGCCCCCCCCCAGTTCGACCCCCCCCGTTGAGGGTGTGGGTGGGGGCACACCCTGTTCGAACCCTCCTCCCCGCTTTGCAATTCAGGAGGGCCCACTACTCCGGGGTTCAACCCCTCCCTGCCCCTCCCCCTTTCAAGCGTCTACAGGATGCGCTCTTTCACTCATTGGCTTCGCTTGGAGTAGCAACAATCCTTAAGCTGCTCCAAGTGGCTGGAACATCTTCACGCCGAGGGTGCAGGCCACGGTCCCAAGACATCCCACACGCGGATTCCAGGACATGGCAGAAAGGACACCTGCGTGCCCCAAGAACCTAGCCGCCTTCTGAGCCTCCGCAGAAGGCAACATGGCCCACCATGGTGTCTTTATCACAGCTGCACTTCGTTGATTCGCTGGACGCTGCAACGGAATGGCCACGCGGGTCCTGGCTGCGGTGTGTCGTGCTATGACCGTCATGCCGGCGCTGCACGGACTCACTCGCGTGTGTGTGTGTGTGTGTATGTGTGTGTATGTGTCCCGTCGCGCCGGGGCTCCTCCTCCTCCTTCCGTGCATTGCGGCCCTAATTTGCATACAGCGTGTCCCCTCTTGCCTATCCGCCGGAGCAGTCGCCCTTTGCCCAGCCGCTGACGCAGAAAATATGTGTGTGTGTGTGCGTGTGTGTGTGTGTGTGTGTGTCGCGCCACGCCGCTGAGTGGCGGTTCGGCCATCACCGCGCCGCTGGAGTGCCAGAAGATTTGGCCCGGCACAGCCCGCCCTTGGAAGAACTAAGGAGCGCGGCTCATCTTGTAGACAAGCGAGTTCTACTACTCGCAAAATAACTCCTCGCAAATGGTCTGGATCCGCCGCTGGTCGTTTACGATACATGACATCGAAGCAAGCGTGTGTTTTTTTGGGACTTTTGCGAGTAGGCACTTTGCGAATAGTGGAACGCGCTCCGTGATCGTGGGTCCTGAGCCAAACCTTGTAAGTTGAATCGCTGTGCGCTGTGCGCCAACGGCGCGTTACTCTGACGCGACACCAATTTCCTCGCCGCGACAGCGGCGGATCGCCTCGCCATGTGAGCGGCGGACTGACAAGCACCGCCATCTTGCAGCTCAGTTGAGGGCTCCCCGGTCGCACGGGCTGTCTGCGAGGTGGACCGACGGGGAGCATCGGGCGGGGGGTCGGACTCCCCCTGCTCGGGTCGACCTCCTGTTCGCCGGCGGGAGCCGCCCTGGCGACGTGGGGGCAGCACTTCCTGCACGACTTGCCAGCCCAGAGAAACTCACTTGCACGCAACCTTTTCACATGCCCTTTCACCAGAGATCTCAGAATTAAATTCTGGTGTAGCTCGTGAAATTTGGGCTCTGACCACTGGCAATTCGGTCCGCTGCGGACGGATTTCTTAGGCGCCGTGTATGCCTGCTCGGGGCCGAGCCCTAGCCGCCATCTTTGAGATCGGGCTTGGCCGTCGCGCGCCAAGCCCGCTCGCGGCAGCGGAGCTCCCCCCACAGCGCGGCCGACGGGGCTCACTATCGGTACCGCTGGACGGGAGCAGAGCCATGAGCGTTGGGGGCTACGGCAGCGCGATGGCGCGCCGCCGTTGACAGCTGACCTCATCTCCCCCAACATACGTCAAACTTGTGCTTGGAGGCCTGGACATGGGCACCAACACCAATGCAGGGGGCTGCCTCCACAGGGGGAAGATGATCCTAGATTTCGGTGTTGGTGGTCGTGTTTCGGCCACCTTGGAAGCGAGAATATTGCCACCATCACCGAGATCGGGATCTTCTTCCCTCGGTGGATGCACACCGCCGATATTGGTGTTGGTGTCAATCCCTAGGCCTGCGACTGTGATCCATGTTCTGCGTCACTGCAGGGTGTCTCTCAGCGCCCCCCAGATGCTTCGGCTGAGGCCAGGGCAGCGCCTGACGGAGAAGTCCCCGAGACCCCGACCGAGGCACAGCATCTGAGTCCATGGGCACGGGGCGGCCCGCGGGAAGCCCGAGAGAAACTGGGGAGCCTGCCGCACTGTGTGTGGATGCAGCGTGCCACCTCCAATATTTCCCAAACGCTCCCTGGGTCCCCCCCCAAAGCAAAAAACAAGAGCCTTCCGTCGGAACGACGGGCCAGCTAGTCATGCAGCAAACGATGAATCATGCCAAGTTCGGGGCCGCAGTTCGGGGCCGCAAAGCGTCAGGAATTCAAGCCCAGCCTCAATGTGCTGGCGCTGATGGAAAAATCACATTGGAGGATTCGGGTTGTGCGCAAAGGCACTAATGTTGCCCTTGGGAGACAGAACTTGGAGCCGAGAGCTTGCATACTGGGGCGTCGAGATGGAACAGCTTGCTCCAGTGTGTCACCGGCTCGACCAGATGGTCCAGTCCCCACAGCCGATCTGCATGGGGGGCCGCAACTCCTCCAACGCCAGGAATCCCACTGCTTTGATCATGCACACGACGAAGCTCGTGCACCCGACGACGAACACTGCAAGCACTCCGCACTTCTCCATGGGGGTGGTCTTCTGATCTGGGCTATCCGACTGCCCTTCGGGGTGCTCCCGGAGGCTCTCCCTCGCCAGCGGCACGCCACTCTGACAGAACAACCTCCAGTACAAAGTGGCTGGATAGATCTGGGTCACCATGGGGACGGTGAGTGCCGTGGTGAAGTCCAGCAGGGTGTTCACGCTGGGAACAAGCACTGCCAGAGCCAATGCCAAGATAAACGTTGGCAACGTGTACCCCAAGTACTGGGCCATGTGTGCGGATGACCACGTGTCTCCGAATTGGGGGGCCCACGCTTTCTGGCAGAATCTTCCCAGGGGCACAGAATCCAGCATGTATGACACGAAGTTGCCGATGAGCTGGAATGTGTTAAAGAAAGTGTTGATGGCGACGCCAGGCTTCCAGGCTGCTACCCCGTCCGTGATGCCAATCACCTCTCCAACGTTGTAGCCTCCCCGTGCCCCTCCCCTTCTCCCCCCTTCCCCTTTCACAGTTACACATGATGAATACTACTATCTTCTCTCTTTCCCCGGACCCTGCCCAGAAGATGCTCCGCCCTCTCCGCGTACTGTTTTCCCACACCAGACTTTGCAAACGTGTTGTTTTCCACATGTTTTTGGTTTGTTGCAATCCGATTGTTTCCGGTGTTTCAAAATGGTGCTGCCGCTGCAGCGTCGACCTCGCTTTCGGATCGGCGCCTTGCTCCCGTCGTTCAGAGCGGCGCTCTCGCCCCAGCGTGGGCCACTTTTTCGGATCCGAGTTCTTCCTCATCGTTGTCGTCCCCCTCTTTTCCCCTCCTCCGCCTTCTCCTGTGCCCCTGCTCCTCCCGCTCCTTTCACTCCACTTACCGCTGCTGCGCTTCGTCCACGTCATCCTCCGCCGCCTCATTCTCCTCCTCCTCCTCCTCCTCCTCCTCCTCCTCCTCCTCCTCCTCCTCTTCCTCGTCCTCCTCCTCCTCCTCCTTCCTCATCCTCGATTGCGTTTCAAAACTTGGGCATCAGGTTTATGATGCCCCAGCCTGAGCAGTTCTCACAATTGTTGAAGCTGGGGACTTTGTCGCCAGTGTCCCTGGGGTTGTAGGAGCCTCCCTCCCTCCTACCTCCCCCGCGGCAGAGCACCTCAACTTGTCTTTGCTTGCACCTTTCCAAGAGTCACTAGAGCCATCACAGACTTTAGTGGAGTTCTGGCTGTCCATCAGAACCCTGACGTGAATAAGAGGGATCTGTACTCTGGTGTGGCAGTGCTCGCTCGTGCCCAGCCTGCTTTTCCCAGGTTGCAGATCGAGAGCATCAAAAGTTCACCGAATCCTCAGCGAGCTGCAACAGGGCACCCGCGAACGGCGCTCGGCGCCGAAACCTGCAGCGGCTTCGATTCCTGGCCCCTCGGCCCAAGAGCTCCTCCTCCTCCTCCCCGTCCTCCTCCTCCTCCTCCTCGCCGCCTCCTCCTCCTCCTCCTCCTCCTCCTCCTCCTCCTCCTCCTCCTCCTCCTCCTCCTCCTCCTCCTGAGTCCTTTCTCGTGGGAGGGCATGCTCGCAGCATGCAGCCGAAGCTCTCACCCTGTGGGGGCCCCCCCTGCGCCCCCCGAGACTGGGCAGAAGGCCTTCGCGCCTACGGCCCGGCGTCGAAGCCCTCCGGTCGCTGCGGCTGGAGCTGTCTGGAGGAGGAGGAGGAGAAATAGTAGTAGTAGGAGGAAGAGGAGGAGGAGGAGGAGGAGGAGGAGGAGGAGGAGGAGGAGGAGGAGGAGGAGGAGGAGGAGGAGGAGGAGGAGGAGGAGTAGAGGAGGAGGAGGAGGAGGAGGAGGAGGAGGAGGTGGCCTGCGCCGCCGCCGCCGCCAGGGGGGGGGGGGACCGGCGACCCGTGGGCGCCCGAGAGCTCCGAGAGAAGTCTGGGCCCAGCAGCTGCACGTCTGGAGCTGGTCAAGTGATCGCTGGCTCTGCTCGATGTGCCCCGCGCGGTGCGCGACCTGTGGGCGCCCGAGAGCTCCGAGAGACCTCCGGGCCCAGCAGCTGCACGTCTGGAGCCGGTGAAGTGATCGCTGGCTCTGCTTGCTGCGCCCCGCGCGGTGCGCGTACAGCTTGGCGCGCGCAAGTCGAGCGCCCAGGAGACCTGTCCTGGGAATCCCGCCTCCTCGTCCACCCTCAGCAGGGCACCCTGGAGGCACGACGACCTATGTGTCTGTGACTACGCGGCAGTGCACATCCTCTCCTGTGGTGTGCCGCTCGTGTGGTCAGTACACATAGAGCAGCCTCAAAAGTCTAGGACACGACTTGCTCCAGAGAGTTCAGAGGCAATTCCTCTGAGGGAGTGCGGTCGCTCCTGCAGCAAGGGCATCGCCCCAAGGATCGGGCGGGCGGTAATGGGGGGTGACACACATGGGGGGTGAAGAGAAAGGCCCTAAAGGGGCCCTCTAGGGCCCTTTTCGGGCACCAGCTGGCTCCAAAAGGGGCCCGAAAGGGCCCCTTTAGGGATCTTCTCTTCAGCACCCATTTGGGTCACCCCCCATTACCACCCGCCCGAAAGGACTCGAAGAAGTCCGCGCCCGACCTCAGCCGTCCAGTCCCCGCCGCCCGGCTCCTCCGTGGAGGCGCCAGGGCGGAGGAGGAGCCCGCGCAGGGGCCAGAGAGCGACGTCGATGATGCAGTGGCCCTCGGAGCCTACGGCATCGGGCTGGGCCGGGTCGACCAATCCTGGACTTTTCCCTTTCAGCTGTGGGTTCCCCTGCCTCACTTCCCACTTCTCCTCCCGCTTAGCCTCCTGCTCACCCGCCGCTGCCTCCTCCTGTACCAGCTCCCCTTCTCCGATGGCGCACGACACGATGGGGTCGTTGCTTGGAGTTCCAGGTTGGCCATGACACGCGTCCGCGGATATATATATATATATATATATATATATATATATATATACATAGACAGACAACATCGGCGTATTGGGACGGGATGGGACGGTGGGGTAGGATGCCAGAGATGGCGCGAGAGCACCTGGCTTGGCTCCTCTGCTCTCCCCCTTCCCTCCCCTCGTCCCCTCCCCACCCCAGCGCGCGACCACCGGGACTCCGACCACCGCGACCATCAGGATGTTCATCGTCGCCGACAGATCAGTCGGGCCCATCAGTGAAACCACCATGCGATTCCTCCCTCGCTCCCCCCGTCTCGCCCCTGCTTCCCTGGGGCAGAGGGGAAGCGACGGGGATGACGAGAGGGGAAGGACACCACGGCAGATCAATTCACAGGCCCGAGATAGAGCGACTTGCGGAAATCCGCCGGGCTTTCCATGCATGTGACCAGCTCCACCGTCAGGAACGAGGGGACGTACGCCCAAGCGGCAATGGTGAAGCCTCCAGCGGCCTTGACCAACTGTAGTGTCGCGTCGGCCTCAGGGTTTCCGAAGTTCTGCGCGGGCAACTTTTGAGGGTTATCGTAAGAAAAGGCAGCTATCAACATGCACAAAGACATAGAGTACACGCTGACCACAGAGACAAACGTAAGCACCACAGTGTTGCTGAGCTTCCGCACCTGCGTTGTCAACAAGCACAGAAGCGCGATGGTGAATAGGTAGTAGTCGGTGCAACCGCCGAAGGCTGAGAACCCTTTGCCAATGCCGCTCAGCGCCAGCGCGCAGAACTCCAGCGCGCAAGGCAGAAACATACAGAAGTTACCGAGCTGGCCAACAGGCTGAAGACTAGCCACTTCTGCCACAACATCGCTTCGGGGGCCCAAGCCGCAGCTACGCTCGGTCATGGCATATCATCCAGCGAGCCGAACGTGATACGTCATGCCCGAACCTTCAGGCCACCGAAGTGAATCTTGCAGGCACGAGGGCTGGATTTCCACCTGTCGATGGATGATGTTGCCCCAGAGCTGACCAGGGCGACCCAGCACCTCTCTGCCCAAGTCTCCGAATGTGTGGCACGATTGGTGCATGAGCTTGATGCGCAACAGCATCATGCTACCTCCAACGGACGCCCCGGTCACCACCACGCAGATCAGCAGTCCCCCCAGATAGCCAGCTGTGCCGATGAGGTAGGGCACGGCCATGACAGCAGACGGCGCCGCGAACGCGAACAAAACCAGACCGGCCTCCGGCCAACCCAGACCCCCTGCAACCGGCGTCATGTTCACCGGGCTCATCAACTGTTGGGCCGATGCGCCAGGGCTCATCAACTGTCGGGGCCACAGGCTCCCGCTCGGAGAGTCCATCATGGCCATCGGCGCCGGCGACTCTGGGGCGGGGGCTGGAAGAATCAAACACGAGCGAGACCGCGGCTAGTTCCGACCCGTGGTGCCAGACATGCGACCCCCCAGCGCAATCGAGAGACTTGAGCCGCGGCGGATCCAAATATGCACCAACCCGCATACGCACGCGCCTCGCACTAGGATCTCGGCACAGCGCGCGGAATCCAAGGAATCTGTCAAACTGGCCGGGCCAACCAGACCGCCAGACGGAACCAGGTTGATCCGCTCCGCTAGACTTGCGAATCCGAATCGGCGCGCCTGCCGAAGGAGAGTCCAGCTCGAGACCTGGAGCGCGGGAGCTGTTCAGGAGGCACGTGCAGCACTCGACTGAGGCTCTGATCCAGATGGGCCTGAGGAAGCACGGTCGGGAACTTTTGCTTCGCGTGCCGCGGCGACGGACCCAGCGACACGCGGTGCCTTGCGAGTGGATAGCATGCCGCTCCGCTCCGCGGGGCGAGAAGCTCGGAGAGGCTCGGGACGTTGACGTTGGGGGAACAGGAACTGGCTAGCGCGTCGCGCCGAAGCGTGGTGGGCCAGGAAAGGTGGAGCGACTTTTGACCCGCGGGTCGAGAGCGCACCTCTTCCGGTCGAAGCTAAGCGGGCCGCGCGAAGCTTAAAATAGGCAGAGAAGAGGAGGAGGGTGGAGCGACACGCTATCCAAGGGGTTCCCGACCGTACGCACATTGGGGAGAAGGGAGCCCGCTCACAAATGTTCGAACCCTGCGATGGAGTGCGCGCGCGGACAGAGGTGAAGGCATGGCGTGCTCCACGGGGCGAAGCGCCCGAGCTGAAGAAATGGGAAGCCGAAGGGACACACTCATCCAACGGAGCTTCTCCCTCTTCTCCTCCTCCTCCTCCTCCTCCTCCTCCTCCTCCCCCCCTCCTCCTCCTCCTCCCTCCTCCTCCTCCTCCTTCTCCTCCTCTCCTCCTCCCTCCTCCTCCTCCTCCTCCTCCCTCCTCCTTCTCCTCCTCCTCCTCTTCCTCCTCCTCCTCCTCCTCCTCCTCCCCTCCTCCTCCTCTCTCCTCCTCCTCCTCCTCCTCCTCCTCCTCCTCCCTCCTCTCCTCCTCCTCCTCCTCCTCCTCCTCCTCCTCCTCCTCTCCTCCTCCTCCTCCTCCTCCTCCTCCTCCTCCTCCTCCTCCTCCTCCTCCTACCTCGTCTACCCCTCCTTGTCGAACTTCGTGCCGCGCCCGAGGTCCCTCTGGAAATCCCCAGAGGCCTCCAGGGGCCGAGCAGGCCGAACTGCTATCCAAAACCTTCCGGGAGCGTCCCCCCTTCATCGAGTCTCGAGGGTAAGAGTTAGGACCTCCTCCTATTCTTCGTATTTCATACTTCTTCTTATTCGTATCATTATTCTTTTTTCTATTCGTAGTATGATCAGTATTGTTATTCGTAACTTTGATTATTGTTGGTCATGGTTCTTCGTGTTACTATTCGTATTATCATTAATCATCATTCCTGTTCCTCTTTTTCTTCTTCCGTTTCTGATTATTATTATTCTTCTTATTCTTCTTTCTGGTTATTACTTTTATTCATCGCTCCTATATCTCCTCCTCCGAGACGGTGTGGCCTCTTAGGCAACGCCCGCGCTGCTGTCGTGAGCCCTGCGGTGCCAGGGCCAGGAGGAGGGGAAGGACGGTGCAGGAGGCAGGAACAGGAAGATAACCAAGAGGAGGTGGAGGACGGACGAGGATGAGGACATGGAGAAAGACTAAGAACCAAACCAGCCAGCTTCAGCGAGATCGCGGGGTTCACCAATAACATAGTTTGAGGGAATTTCTCTGGAACCCATGCCATCCTGATCCCCGGCGCGCGAAGCAATGGCCCCGCCGACCCCCCTGTTCCGTTTCCGGTGAGATCTGGGAAATCCGACGAATCCAGCGACGAATTCCAAACCGGCGCCCTCGCGTAGGACATCCTCAGAAAAACAGGCCCCCAGAGCCTCCCCAAGGAAGCTCTAACAGGCCCCCCTGTTCCGTTTCTGGTGAGATCCGGAACATCCAGCGAATATCCAGCGAATCCGGCGACGAATTTCAAACCGGCGCCCTCGCGTGGGACATCCTCAGAAAAACCGGCCCCTGGAGCCTCCCCAAGGAAGCCCTCTGAGGCCCTCGTGTTCCGTTTCAGGAGGATGACGAGGCGAAGGAGGACGAGGGGAGTAGGACGAGGCAGAGAACAGGAGGAGGAGGAGGAGGAGGAGGAGGAGGAGGAGGAGGAGGAGGAGGAGGAGGAGGAGGAGGTTGCCAGCATGGCAGCGGGGGGCGCCACGCCCGCCCGATCCTCACCCTACTGATTTTCATTCTCGCCATCCTCGCTCTCCTGACCCTCCTTCTGCACATCCTCACCCTCCAGCTCCACGGTCGCCCGATCCTCACCCGCGCGACCCTCACTCTCCTGATCCCCCCCCCTCGCGAGCCTCGCCCTTCCGATCCTCACGCTCATTCTCATCTCGATCATCTAACCTCGCGCCGAGAAGCGCGTCTCCTTTCTTCTGTACACAAAAACTCCCGACCAACCGCAGAGCGGCCGGCCAGTACTCATTCTGGTGCAGCTGGACATTCGGACTGGCGCACGCCCCCACCCATCGAACGGAAGGCGGTCGCGCGTGCGCGCGGCCCCGACCCCGACGACGTGGCGAGAGAAACGTACGCCGTGTGCAGACGGGAGCGCAACGTTGGAAAATGCTCTTGGATGTTTCCGCTCGCTGGCGTGCGAACCGGCTTCGGATAATGTTGGCAATCGGAGAACAGCGCGCCTCGCCCAAGCGTGAGCGCAACTTCCAGGGAACGCCTGCGCGGCGCTTGGGCGAAAACTGCATTTCGCCGCTCGGCCGCGCCCCGGTTTCCGAGTTCCTCGCGAAAAAAAGTTCCCGGATAGATAGCACCTTGGAGAGCTGTAGGGGTTCAGAACTAAAAGCCGGCAGCGCAGGGCAGCCCCAGAGCTCGTCCTGGCGTCGGTGGAAGATCCCCAGCGCGGCCTCTTTGAACCGCCATCGTGTTCTGGCAGGCCTTTCCCTCAGCGTTTCCCAATACGCCTGCCCGGAAGCTCTCCAGGAGCTCCTTCGGAAGCCTCCGCCAGGAGCTTTCAGAGTTTCCTGGATCGGCCTTTGGACGGCACTCTGGTGTGCTCCGCTATCCAGGTTTTGGGCTACGCAGGTATGGGACGTGGACTGCGCGGTCGTCGGGCGGATAGGCGGCGGAGTGCGAGCCGGGGTCGTATGCTGACAGGAGCAAGGGCAGTCGTCAAGCTGGCCAGCTCGAGCGAAACAGCAGGCTCCGCCAATTCCCCACCCACCCCCCCTTTTCCTGCCTCCCTCCTCCCTCTCTCATCGTCGTTGCCCTCCTCCCTCCTTCTCCTCCTTATCCTATCCTCCTCTTCGCCGCCGACTTCCTCGCCTTCCTTCCCCATCTCGTCGTCCTCCTCCTCCTGCGGGCTCCAACAGCATCATAACAGGTGCTGGCATAGCTGAAACGTCGGGACTGGCGCGCCCTCCCGCCCAGCCATCGGCTCGGCGGCGACGATAAGGGCAAAAAATAGCCCCGGGGCGGGCATTACGCGCATTCGCCCGGGAGCCTTTTCGAAGACATAGATCATCGGCGCACCTGAATACATGTATTGTTCTCCCCTGGGCTATTCGCCCCTGTCGTCGCCTCCGACAAGCCCTCTCGAGCGCGGCCGGATGTCCGATGTGACCGGCGACGGCCAACTACGCGCCGCGCCCGCGAGACAGGAGCGCACCTGTCACCTTTCAGGTGTTCACGGCGCTACACGGGCACGATGTGCATCGCGTCCTGTTTCTGCCACGCATCTTGCGACGTCGGCAACACACCGTACATGCTGCACAACCTGATGCCACCTCTGGGCTGTTTCTGGATGGGGCGGGTAAGACGGAACGACGCGCTTGGAGCCGATGGGAGTGGTATGATACACAAGTAGAGAACAAGGACATATATTAGTTCCAGGACGGAGTCCAAAATGCTGAGAGGTGATATTGCCCCGCGTGGGCTTTCTGCGTATAGTCATCCTACTGAGAGGAGGACGAGGTGAAGCAGGATGATGATGATGATGATGATGATGATGATGATGATGATGATGATGATGATGATGAAGCTGCTACTGGTAATGACGATGATGGTGATGCTGCTGATGATGTTTCTTTGTTTGTTTGTTTGTTTACCGATATGAAAGAGCAGGTGCTCCATCGGCCCCCGCAGTCGAGGCGATCTACAATATTGCCTTCAGTCCAATAGCGCCTAACGTGTGATGCAGCCACTCTGGCTCGTAACTTTTCCATAGTTTGCGATCTAATGCAACAGCCTTCCAATCCTTCTGATACCGCCGAAAGAAAACTGATGCCGTCTGTGCTTCATAATGCCATGGTGAAAAACAGCCATGGCCTTGTCTGTCCGAAACTCTGTGCAAATTTGAACGGCCCTCCGAATGACAATTCCATTTGATTTTTTGGCATAGTAACAACTCTGGGGAAGCGTCCATGAGCTGGCCGACGTGTCCAAAATATCGATACGTATGCCGGGCAGCGACCACGTCCAGATCTGCGAAGCCGTTCTCAATCTTGATGTTCCTCAGAAGGCGCCTCTGTCGACGACAATGATGCTCATCAGCTTCGCCGCGATGCCAGGGAAGACGGAGGTACCGCAGCGTAGTTCCTTTCTGGACTGCTCGCAGCTTTTGGGCGGCCTGCTGATTGCAGGTCCACACTCCAGCTGACCACGCGGACGTGGACACGCAGATCCGGTTGATGAGTCCACACCGCTGCTTCCGAGTAGATGCTCTGAAAGGCACAACGCTCGCTGAATGAGCGACGGCGCTCCGTGCGGAATATGACTTGACTCGGATGTCCTCTCCGGTGCGGCCATTGGCGATTATGTAGATGCCAACGCAACGCATGAAAGTGCCATGACCCTCGTACGTCGTTCCCGGCCACGAATGCTCGGAGTCGCTCTGGTTCTGGCTT